GATACGATGACATGCATCAACCAATTCAGCGAGCCTGACCACCCGATCCTGTTCGTCTCTTAGGACAAGCATTGCTTGCTGGAGTTCCAAATTTGCATCATGTCTGGAGAAGGTGCAAATGTAAATGTAAATTTGCACTGTGTGTATATGTTGTCACGTAAGAGGATGATCTAATTAATACATCTGTTGATTTGACAACACCAAACAAACTATCAACAGTTCTGTCTTCTGAAGTTGACGCTAGTCACTACAACAATACCAACTTTTATGCGGAGCTGGGCGGACGGTATTCTCTTTGGGTTTCAAGGGGTCAACTTATTGTGTACAGATTAAATCAAACACATGTTGCTTCATGCGAAGATTTCTGTAAGGTATCTCTCTTCCCTTTCGACTTTGATTGGAAAACAACCTTTCGATGTCGAAAGTCATGAAAAGACTGATGATAATGTGTGCAAAACACTATTTACATATTTTATTTACACACCTAAGTTAATTTTCATGTGAACGCATAGTAAATTTACATATACACACGGATGTATAGTTACACATGTGCAAAATTTCTTTCATGGGTAAATGTTGTGCATGTGAACGTGGTATTAAGCACACTCCATGAGACATTGCTGTAACAAATGTTGGTTAGTTAACAGTTAGCTGTGGCAATCACATTTGTTTCATGTTATACAGGTTGCAAAATGTTTTGCCGAAAACAGTCATTTTACTTGCAAAGTTACAACTTACAAAATAACAAATAGAGGCCTAAACAGAAAGACACAAGTACCTTCTTTACAGATGTGAAAAATTTATCATTATCCCTTGTTGCTTTTCCTCGGTGGCGAAGACGTGTGCTGCGTGAGATTGATCATTTGCAATGCTTCCTGTAATATAAACGAGAAAACGTGTGTGTGTTTGTCAAAAATATTTTACAGGGTGAAAGTCAAAACCATGTTCTGTTAACTTCTTTATGTTCATTACATCCTTATACTACCCTTCATTGAAGCTCATGTCCGCGCATCCCCAAAATAGATTTTCTGATATTTGTTACAGCCGTCTCCGGGTGCCAAGACGTGTTTCAGTGAGCTCTGATGGTGCGGTCTTAGTTTCTGGTTCGTCTGGCCGAGATTGTGTTTGTTTGTTTGTTTGTTGTTTAACGCCGTACTCGGCAATATTCCAGCTATAATTTTATGACGACAGTCTGTAAATAATCGTGCCTGGACCCTAGAATCCAGTGATTGATATCACGATCATCGATCCACGCAATTGTGATACGATGACATGCATCAACCAATTCAGCCAGTCTGACCACCTGATCCCGTTCGTCACTTGGAACAAGCATGGGTTGCTGAAGATCTATTCTGACCCAGTATCCAAATACACATGGAATATGGACAGTGTCGACAAGAAAGGCTTGTACTATTAAACGAATATGGAACCGAGCACGTGGGAGATTCGAAGTGTTATATTAAATGTCGTGTGCAAGCACATTTCGACCGAAAGGTTCCAGTTGGAGCAGGCAAGGACACATTTTGTAAATCCTGAAAGTGTTAGGATTCCTGGGTTGTTTCTGGAGGAGTAAGTGGTGGCGATAGATACAGTTACATATCTGTCTTCAGAGGTTCGGGGACCGCCTCCGTGGTCTAGTGGTAGAGCGTCCGCCCGGAGAGCGGAAGGTCCGGGGTTCGATCCCCGGCCGCGTCATACCAAAAGACGTTAAAAGATGGTACTTGTTGTTACCCTGTCTGGCGCTCGGCATTAAGGGGCTAAAACAAGGACTGGTCGGCTCGGAGTCAGTATACTGTGTCTGAGTGGGGTATTCATGTTAAACTGCGGCATGGTATCTCAGTGGGCTAGCACTATAAATCGGCATCAGCTCGGACTAGTACAAGCAGCCCCACAAACACACACACGTACATGCACGTCGCTATATAAGTGCAATAATCTTGGACGCGACGTTAAACTCCATTTCACCTCATCTCAGAGGTTCGGGGCAATTTCTCAAAAATGAAAGCAAATGCCATCGGAGAAAAGAAAATGTGAAATGTTGGACTGCCTCATTGGTAACAGCAATGTAAAATGTTTGGGAAGGACATTTAGGCAAGAATTAGGCACCATCATGGGCACAGAGTGTGCTCCCCTTCTTGATGAGATTTTTCTTCATGCATTTGAATCGGAATTTCTGCTAGGATTGGCAAGGTCAAAAGAAGGTAATTTGGCCAAAAAGTTAAACTTAAGCTTCAAGCATGGCGATGATCTGATATCGTTCAGTAACCATCAAATATCCAATTCCCTTACGCTGATTTACCCACCTGAACTAGAGATAAAGGAGACCAGTGAGACCGCTTCATCTGTTTCATATTTACATCCATGCATAAGACCGCCTCCGTGGTCTAGAGGTAGAGCGTCCGCCCGGAGAGCGGAAGGTCCGGGGTTCGATCCCCGGCCGCGTCATACCAAAAGACGTTAAAAGATGGTACTTGTTGTTACCCTGTCTGGCGCTCGGCATTAAGGGGCTAAAACAAGGACTGGTCGGCTCGGAGTCAGTATACTGTGTCTGAGTGGGGTATTCATGTTAAACTGCGGCATGGTATCTCAGTGAGCTAGCACTATAAATCGGCATCAGTCCGGACTAGTACAAGCAGCCACACAAACACACACACGTACATGCACGTCGCCTAATAAGTGCAATAATCTTGGACGCGACGTTAAACCCCATTCCACCACCACACCCATGCATATATACTCCCGAGTGACAAAACACTTTTCCCAAGACTGTATGACATGAGGGATGACTTCAACTTTCCAACAGTCAACTTTCATTTTATGTGAGCAATATTCCTGCAGCTCCCGCCTTTGGTGTTTACATTTAACAACTTTTGAGGTACAATTGAACATGGTCTTAGTCACACGACTCTTGCTGACAGGTTGTTTGATCAAGGTTACAACATTCAAGGCCTCGGTAAAGCTTTCACCCTCTCACCAACTCAACCACTTTATTGAAAAAAATATCAAGACCTCATTTGCTAAAATGTGTCACATATAAATATGTTTTAAACAAATACCATACGGAGTCCAAGCAAACTAAAAGCCACGAAAACAAGAGCCTTTATCATACCTCCATGTCAGAATGATGAGATCTGATTGGTCCACGTGATCTTGATAAAATATTCTGCATCCCGCCTTGGAGGGGAATGAATTTCTCAGAGGGTCATAAATCCCTTATACCCGCCACGAGCAAGTCAGGCTGCACGTGGATTTCTGAGATGCAGAATAAATCCCTTATACCCCACGTTTTTTACGAGTCAATGAAAGTCACGTGACATAGCGCATGTTAAACTCAGCTCAAACTCAGCTCAAACTCACTCACTCACTCTCACTCACTCACTCGTCCACTCACTCACTCACTGTTTGAGCAACCCAAGAAGGTTACAAACGTTACAAGGCTTAGCAGTCGCCAAAACCCTGCTATAATACCCGTGTCAAGTCCATCACCACCAAAAAACCATTTCTTGTTTGTTTCATTTTTAGCCACCATAAAACATGGGTGTATACTTTCTTTTGCCCGACAGTTGTCTTGAAATGACATAAAATGGAACGTACATGTTCAGCCAATCAAATGCCACGGAATCACTTGCAATTTATTCAATCCAAATTACCTCACTTTGCAAAACATATCTGACGAAAAACGCAGAGACTTAAACTAGCCTCCTGAAGTCCTTGATGGTCCTCTCGACAGTTATGTGACCCGTGAAGATCCGGGCTGGAACAGGTCTTCAGCAACCCATGCTTGCCGTCAAAGGAAGATCCCACCCGGGATCGGGTGATCAGGCTCGCTGACTCTTGATTGATGCATGTCATCGTATCCAAATTGCATGATAGATGCTCATGATGTCAATCACTGGATTGTCTGGCCCAGACTCGATTATTTACAGACCGCCGTCATATAGCTGGAATATTGCTGGGAGCGGCGTTAAACAACAAACAAACACACAACAGTGATGTACATTGCTACAATAACACGTTTATTCGTGTTGTAAAGTATAAGGACAAGTTAAGGTCAAAAGACTCATTTTTGGCCCAAAGGGTTTTATATTTAAGGAATGGGCGAAACTTTTGAATACCGTCATGGAAGGTCCCATATGTTTATATGAATAAGAATTATACATTGTTTACGTCAATATGTGCAGGTTTTGGATGTTTAACTTCACTCAATGTACAGGTTTATTGTCCAAAAGGCTGACTTTCTAGCTTTTCGGGAAGCGTTGATTTATTATACTTGAACATGAGCACGTATCTAGCTTTCTTAGGTGATTCAGATAAGCACAGTCCACATGTATGGTAAAACTTCATTTGGGGTTAAGGTGTAGCTCAAGGCACACACGTATTTATTACATGTATGTACTTATATAATTGTTTTACTCATTTTATTTGTACAAGACCGCCTCCGTGGTCCAGTGGCAGAGCGTCCACCCGGTGAGCGGAAGGACGTGGGTTTCGATACCCGGCCTCGCCATACCAAAAGACGTTAAACGTAGGTACATGTTGTTACCCTGCCTGGGCTTCGGCATTGAGGGGCTAAAACAAGGTCTGGTCGCTCGGAGTATACTTTGTCTGAGAAGGGTATTCATGTTAAACTGCCGCATTCTATCTCAGTGGGTTAGCAATATAAACACGGCATCAGTCCGGACTAGTACAAGCAGCCACACAAACAAACACTCGTGTGTACGTGCAGTGCAGTTACTTGTGAGGCGACGTCAAACCCTATTTCACCTCACCTCAGATGTTCAAAACTTGTAAGTGTGAGGAAGAAATTCAGCTAGTTGTCAGCCATTCAACATATTATTTTCATACTCATATTTCAGAACGGTCCGTTACTTTAAAATTTGACAATTCCAGTAGTCAAAAAGTGGCCTCAGTCCTTTCCCATTGAGCTTCAGCGACTGAAGTGGGCGTGGTTTTCTGTGACCCTTGAACTAGGAAGTATATCCACCGGAAGTGATGTCCTTGACAACCAAGGGCGCGCGCTATTTGGAAACACGTCTGTCAAGACACTCGCATGGGATTTCGGGGATTTCTTATGTAAACTTCAGTTACAAGAACCTGATAGTTGTGAAAAGTAAGTTAACCCTTCCCCATGTGAAAGTATGGGCCGAAAGTATTATGTTGACAGCGCCTTGTGTAGTTTAAAACCATTTTGTCTGTGTCTCGTGGTCAGCTGGTGACAGTGCCAACTGGGCCAAGTAGAGCCATTGTTTACCATTGGGTTGTTCAATCATCGTTGAAAGATGTGGTCGAGAATCCGATAATCACCTAAGCATGGTGATGGCATACTCTTAGTTAAAGTACTGGATCCAATACCAGGTTTTAACCAACAGCCAGGCCTAGTAAATACGTATTGTCATCGTGATACAGGGTTTCACCAACAGCCAGGCCTAGTAAATACGTATTGTCATCGTGATACAGGGTTTCACCAACAGCCAGGACTAGTAAATACGTATTGTCATCGTGATACAGGGTTTCACCAACAGCCAGGCCTAGTAAATACGTATTGTCATCGTGATACAGGTTTTAACCAACAGCCAGGCCTAGTAAATACGTATTGTCATCGTGATACAGGGTTTCACCAACAGCCAGGCCTAGTAAATACGTATTGTCATCGTGATACAGGTTTTAACCAACAGCCAGGACTAGTAAATACGTATTGTCATCGTGATACAGGGTTTCACCAACAGCCAGTCCTAGTAAATACTTATTGTCATCGTGATACAGGGTTTCACCAACAGCCAGGCCTAGTAAATACGTATTGTCATCGTGATACAGGGTTTCACCAACAGCCAGGACTAGTAAATACGTATTGTCATCGTGATACAGGGTTTCACCAACAGCCAGGCCTAGTAAATACGTATTGTCATCGTGATACAGGTTTTAACCAACAGCCAGGACTAGTAAATACGTATTGTCATCGTGATACAGGGTTTCACCAACAGCCAGGACTAGTAAATACGTATTGTCATCGTGATACAGGGTTTCACCAACAGCCAGGCCTAGTAAATACGTATTGTCATCGTGATACAGGTTTTAACCAACAGCCAGGACTAGTAAATATGTATTGTCATCGTGATACAGGGTTTCACCAACAGCCAGGACTAGTAAATACGTATTGTCATCGTGATACAGGGTTTCACCAACAGCCAGGCCTAGTAAATACGTATTGTCATCGTGATACAGGTTTTAACCAACAGCCAGGACTAGTAAATACGTATTGTCATCGTGATACAGGGTTTCACCAACAGCCAGGCCTAGTAAATACGTATTGTCATCGTGATACAGGGTTTCACCAACAGCCAGGCCTAGTAAATACGTATTGTCATCGTGATACAGGTTTTAACCAACAGCCAGGACTAGTAAATACGTATTGTCATCGTGATACAGGGTTTCACCAACAGCCAGGCCTAGTAAATACGTATTGTCATCGTGATACAGGGTTTCACCAACAGCCAGGCCTAGTAAATACGTATTGTCATCGTGATACAGGGTTTCACCAACAGCCAGGCCTAGTAAATACGTATTGTCATCGTGATACAGGTTTTAACCAACAGCCAGGACTAGTAAATACGTATTGTCATCGTGATACAGGGTTTCACCAACAGCCAGGCCTAGTAAATACGTATTGTCATCGTGATACAGGTTTTAACCAACAGCCAGGACTAGTAAATACGTATTGTCATCGTGATACAGGGTTTCACCAACAGCCAGGCCTAGTAAATACGTATTGTCATCGTGATACAGGGTTTCACTAACAGCCAGGCCTAGTAAATACGTATTGTCATCGTGATACAGGGTTTCACCAAACATGAAAACTGGGAGTCATCATATGACTCACGGGAAGACATATTCTTTTTAGAGCCAGTTTTCCACTGCATTTCAAACTTTTGTCTGCAAGATATTGATAACATAAATAAAAGAGCTACTGAGCAGCTTGTTGATTAAAAACAAGTGATAATGTAGAGACAGTTCATCTTTGATAGTTCCTTGAAGGAAACTGTAGGCCTACTGACTGATAAAATATGCTGCCTAAAATATGACTTAGTAGAAGTAGCCTAGCCCAAATTTGGCTTGGAAATTGGGTCAGATACCCAGGATTTGCCAAATAATATTATAAACCTTGTTGTGATGTGAGTAAGGCCCTTTTGCCAGTTGTACCATTTAATAATTTGTACAGAATGAACACCTCCTTCAACCATTGTTAACCATTTTACCCAAGCTCCTTCTTTCTTTTGATGTTATAAATCATGGGAATTTTCATTACAGATCACAATGCGTCGCTCAAAACTACCGCCGCGAAGTTTATATCCTTTGAAGAGCACAAGTCCATCTCTGGACACTGAGAAGAGAGATGACAAATTTCATCAATCACAGCTTCCACCAATCAAAGACAATTCTTTTCTGTTTGCTCCACCTCTTGGCAGACCAGAGTGTCCTCAATATGGACGCCGAGCACACAGGCTTGCAAATGGGAGAACTGATCCTCTAGGTGATCTCTCGAGTTATTAATATTAGATTTAAGTTTTCATCATTCTTTACAACCCAAATAATGTAATTTAAATTTCAAAGTTCACAAAGTACAAGCGTCAATGATATTTATCTTCAGCTTTTCTCTTCCACCAAATGACAGGACCAACCTTCTTTTTTTCAGCTTCAGCTATTCTTGTAATTAAAACAATGTGCCTAAATAAATATTTTTTAAAAACAATCTGCAATGTATTGTTGTGGCTGACAATTTTATTATTTTTCGACAGTCTGAAGCATAATTTTGTTTTTGTTTGCTGCATTTCGGGAGACAATTTCTTTTCTTTTTTTCAAAATTTATTTTATATCTATCCTGGTCATTTGTTTCATAAAAAGCAATATTTCTTACAGTCAATGACTTCAGCCACTGTCCAAAGGTCATTTCTAGTCAAATCTCTTTCGGTCAAGAAAGCATGTCTCATAACGTCCATATATTTGCACTAAAATCTACTGGTAATGATGTCAGTTGACAAGTTTTGGCAAGTAGATACAATTCATGTGGCACAGACTGTACGTTTACTCAAGATTGTTTCTTGACATCATGGTGATGCAAATATGTTGTTGTTTGTTTTTATAACAGGCCTTCATCCCAGCAAGTATCAGAGCCAAGCCATGGCATCAGCTGCACCCAGCCTCACATCACAGACTCCCACCCCCTGGGGAACTGACGAGCCATTCCGCTGCTGCAAGGATTTCCTGGAACAGAAATCATCTACAAATGTCCGAGCAAAAATCCAACTGCCGGACATTCTGGACACCAGGTGCCAGATGACCGGCGGCCACCTACGCATCCGGCCAGCCAATACGGATCTGCTGATCCTCAGTAAGTATGGATGTGTAATATGACATGGTGGATAGGGGATGGATACGTATTGCCCCTGTGGTGAACTGGGGCGGGATGGGTTCTCACTACTCTGTCTTCAGTCATAATTGGTTGGAATCCCAAGCAGCCTGTGCTGGTTGTAAGTGGCGACTAAATCGATCTGCTGGTCAGGTTTGGTGACTTGGTTGATGGCGTGTCAATATACCCTGATGGATTGTTGCTCATATCAATCACTGGATTGTCTGGTCCAGAGTTTTGCAGGATACTTTCACACAGAGACACACACACACACAGTCACACACACACACACACACACAGTCATACACATGATTTGTATAATGGAAGATTTGCATTAGGTATTTTATTTTTGAATAAAATAAATAAAATATGTCACAAACATAAGTCCAATATACAATTTTATTAACCAGATAGTATAATAATGGGATCAGATTGGGTACTTCAGTTCGGATTGGTTTACTGGTATTTCTGCTGTTAGGTGCTCGCGATGATCAGCGGATAATGTTTTTTGAGGTGAGGGGAAAAACATTGTGTCAGTGTAAAACTTCAGTTTATTAAATATGTAAGTAAATTTTGGGAGCCATGCGTTATCACACGCTATAAGCTCTGATTCTCTGATTCTCAGTTCTGTAGTTGTGACATTTTACTGAATTAATAAGCTTGATTTTGGGCAAGTACATTTTAAAATAGGACAAGTAAAAATGTTGTTCATACTTGCCCTTGGTCTAGTAACATTTTTCAAAAAAATTTCAACCCCTGTCCAAGAAATAAAAGTTCATGAAAATAGTGAAATACACAGGTCTGAATGCAGTGAACTTGCAGAATTAATTCTTCACAGTGACCACAGGAATAGTCACTCATGAGGTTACAATCACAACAGGAGCGGTGGTGTAGCCCTCACGGTTCAAGCGTTTGCTTGTCATACCTAAGACCCTGTTTCGATTCCCCACATGGCTACAATCTGTGAAGCCCATTTCTGGTGTCCCCAGATGGAATATTGCTAACAGTCACTCACTCACTCACTCACTCACTCACTCACTCCATTGTCTATTTCTAATCACCTGTCAGCGCCAATTATCTGCTGGCTTCCTTTGTTAAGGTTCCACCTTTTGTTATCTTATTACTTTTGTTGTTCTTACATGTACATATATATGCTCTCTGCCACATGGCATTCATTCACCTGATGAAGGAGTAAGCATATATACTCTGAAACGTTGTGTTCCTCATAATAAAGAAGTTGATATCCAGAAATTCTCACCCTCTGTATGAAAATATACAGACAAAAATACAACATTCTCAAGCCACTCCTGCAGGAGTTAAGAGAGACAATCAGATATATACATATAAATATGATATAGATAATATATTAAATACATATGAAGCTTAAGAAATTGGCACTAGTCCTGTAGTCCTTGACAAACTGTCCAATAGTAAAGGTATCATAAGGACTAGTAGAAATTTGCCATTTTTAGGAGTTTTGCTTTATGTTATCATTGTAAGGACTAGTGGACTGAAACTGCCTATGTACACATAACTTATACAGGTAGAAGACTGAGGTTGTGACACGATAATATGAAGCAGATGACAAATTAAGCATTGACTATCAGATTATCCCTATCAAAAGTTGAGTAGATAAAAGTTGACAGTTTTAGTTTGGTTGAGTTCATGTGGTGTACCTTTGTCCTATAACCTAGATGAGATCGAGTACAACTATGAGCCTGCTGTTGTCCCACGCAAGATCTCACCAGAGTTTTCCGCAATCAATGGACGAAGACTGCGAATCAAGTCCCCAAGGATCCGCACACAGCTCAGCCGAGCAAACTCGTACCATACCGATGTGGACTCCCAGAATATCCACAGTGGCAACCAATCGAAGGCCACACGATCGGGAACTACAAACTTGCCTCATCTGGACCTGCTGCTGAAGAAGAGGCATCTCTCGTAATAACTTCTACAACTAAATTTGCAGCACTGGAGGGGGAGGGGCTTAGGTTATGTGGGCGGGGCTTAGGTATATGTTGGTCTATAGTTATTTGGCTGGGATTAGGGTTACATGTTTTTATTAGGGTTAATCCGATTAGGATAAACTGGGTGGAGAAAAGGATTATGTGGGTGGGGATAAGGATTATGTGGATGGGGATAAGGATTACATAGGTGGGGATTAGGAAGAAAGGGGATAAGTTGGTTTGACATAAGATTAGGTAAAATGTGTTTTCAAAAGGATTAGTAGATTGATTTTGGGAAAATGAAATGTAATCATATTGTAGAAATTAACTGAGTTATTATCCCTTTTGATGATTTATTATGAATGCATTTACATTAATTATTATCATTGAGCTCGGGCACAACACTGGGAAGTATAGGTCATTGAAATGATGTCTGTGCAATGCCAATTAGTGTTTATATATATGATATTATACCCCAGAGTTATAAATGCAATATTTGTTGTTATACATGCATTCAGATGTACTTTTGTTATTCACATGGAATTCTTTTGAACAATTTATATTTTTCTTTGAAAGTGGGTCATTTGTATGGTACATATTTGTTAGCCAACTACCCCTGTAGCAGTAGTGGGTTTGAGTAATTAATGTTAAGGTCGTTAGATAGACTTTCTGACATAAAGCAATTTAATTTTTTGGTTATTGAAGCACTGAAGAAATGTCTAATTTGATGGATGGATTTGGAGCTAATGAAAGCATGACAACACTGGGGAGAGAAGGAATTAAGCAACGATTTCAGGAGTAACCTGGTGTGAGTGGCCATGAGAATGAGCTAGGTCTTGTAATGCATTTTCTTTATCCCAGCACTACCACATGTGAAAGACCAAGGTGAAGCCTGTTGAGAGCAAACCAAAACTAGATACCAATGGCCTCAAAGTGATAAAAATACTCTTACTTTGATGGAATTCTACTGATAAATTATTATCTTTAATCACTGGCTGCTTGTGACACCAATATATATGCCCTTTGTAATATCTGGTGACAGTCACACCAATACGTATGTCCTTCCTAATATCTGGGGACACCGGTTGCCCAGTCGTCTAACCTGTCTCAGGTCACTGTGCAAAGTTGTGTCCCTTAGGTGTACCAGAATCCAATGATCATGGGGTCCCAGTCAAAGTTTGCTGCTTGTGGCACCAATATGGATGCCCTTAAAAAAATCTGGGGGCAGAGGTGGCCTAGTCATCTAAGGTTGCATCTAAGTCATATGCCCTTCGTAATATTTTGGGACACAGGTGGCCCATTCGTCTCAGCTGCCTCAGGTTACTGTATTTGTCCCTTAGGCATGCCAGAATCCAATGATTGTGGGTTGGATTCCAAATTCACCCTGATGATGAATTCTCATTTGTCATCCCCAGACCCTCCTTATGGGTTCATCAGAGTTGTAAACATCTCAGACCTGCCTCACTTCTGGCTTTCCTCCAACATCAAGCTGACACACCGTGATAACTGAAATACTGTATAAGCCGAGCTCAACCCACTTGAAACATATTGGAGTCAGTACATCCATATCACATGCTGGGAAATTAAGATCAATTGTGCTCTTCACTTGAAACATATTGGAGTCAGTGCATCCATATCACATGCTGGGAAATTAAGATCAATTGTGCTCTTCACTTGAAACATATTGGTGTCAGTACATCCCTTTCACAATCTGGGAAATTCAGATCAATCGAGCTGTTCACTTGAAGCATATTGGAGTCAGTACATCCCTTTCACAATCTGGGAAATTCAGATCAATCGAGCTGTTCACTTGAAGCATATTGGAGTAAGTACATCCCTTTCACATGCTGGGAATTTAAGATCAATCGTGCTCTTTACTTGAAGCATATTGGAGTCAGTACATCCATATCACATGCTGAGAATTTAAGATCAATCGTGCTCTTCCCTTGAAACATAGTGGAGTCAGTGCATCCATATCACATGCTGGGAAATTAAGATCAATTGTGCTCTTCACTTGAAGCATATCGGAATCAGAATATCCATATCACATGCTAAGAATTTAAGATCAATTGTGCTCTTCACTTGAAACATATTGGAGTCAGTGCATCCATATCACATGCTGGGAAATTAAGATCAATTGTGCTCTTCACTTGAAACATATTGGTGTCAGTACATCCCTTTCACAATCTGGGAAATTCAGATCAATCGAGCTGTTCACTTGAAGCATATTGGAGTAAGTACATCCCTTTCACATGCTGGGAATTTAAGATCAATTGTGCTCTTCACTTGAAACATATTGGAGTCAGTGCATCCATATCACATGCTGGGAAATTAAGATCAATTGTGCTCTTCACTTGAAACATATTGGTGTCAGTACATCCCTTTCACAATCTGGGAAATTCAGATCAATCGAGCTGTTCACTTGAAGCATATTGGAGTCAGTACATCCCTTTCACAATCTGGGAAATTCAGATCAATCGAGCTGTTCACTTGAAGCATATTGGAGTAAGTACATCCCTTTCACATGCTGGGAATTTAAGATCAATCGTGCTCTTTACTTGAAGCATATTGGAGTCAGTACATCCATATCACATGCTGAGAATTTAAGATCAATCGTGCTCTTCCCTTGAAACATAGTGGAGTCAGTGCATCCATATCACATGCTGGGAAATTAAGATCAATTGTGCTCTTCACTTGAAGCATATCGGAATCAGAATATCCATATCACATGCTAAGAATTTAAGATCAATTGTGCTCTTCACTTGAAACATATTGGAGTCAGTGCATCCATATCACATGCTGGGAAATTAAGATCAATTGTGCTCTTCACTTGAAACATATTGGTGTCAGTACATCCCTTTCACAATCTGGGAAATTCAGATCAATCGAGCTGTTCACTTGAAGCATATTGGAGTAAGTACATCCCTTTCACATGCTGGGAATTTAAGATCAATTGTGCTCTTTACTTGAAGCATATTGGAGTCAGTACATCCATATCACATGCTGAGAATTTAAGAATTTAAGATCAATCGTGCCCTTCTCATAGCACATAGCAGACACTGTTATATCCATATCACATGCTGGGAAATTAAGATCAATCATGCTCTTCCCTTGAAACATAGTGGAGTCAGTGCATCCATATCACATGCTGGGAAATTAAGATCAATTGTGCTCTTCACATAGCACATAGCAGAGACTGTTCTATCCATATCACATGCTGGGAAATTAAGATCAATCGTGCTCTTCACTTGAAGCATATTGGAGTAAATACATCCCTTTCAACTGCTGAGAAATTAAGATCAATCATGCTCTTCCCTTGAAGCATATTGGAGTCAGTACATCCCTTTCACATGCTGAGAATTTAAGATCAATCATGCTCTTCACTTGAAACATATTGGAGTCAGTACACCCGTATCACATGCTGGGAATTTAAGATCAATCATGCTCTTCACTTGAAGCATATCGGAGTCAATACATCCATATCACATGCTGAGAATTTAAGAAATTAAGATCAATCGTGCTCTTCACTTGAAGCATATCGGAATCAGTATATCCATATCACATGCTAAGAATTTAAGATCAATTGTGCTCTTCACTTGAAGCATATTGGAGTCAGTACATCCATATCACATGCTGGGAAATTAAGATCAATCGTGCTCTTCCATTGAAGCATATCGGAATCAGTATATCCATATCACATGCTGAGAATTTAAGATCAATTGTGCTCTTCACTTGAAACATATTGGAGTCAGTGCATCCATATCACATGCTGGGAAATTAAGATCAATTGTGCTCTTCACTTGAAACATATTGGAGTCAGTGCATCCATATCACATGCTGAGAATTTAAGATCAATCGTGCTCTTCACATAGCACATAGCAGAGACTGTTATATCCATATCACATGCAGGGAAATTAAGATCAATCGTGCTCTTCACTTGAAGCATATTGGAGTCAGTACATCCATATCACATGCTGGGAAATTAAGATCAATCGTGCTCTTCCCTTGAAACATATTGGAATCAGTACATCCGGATCACATGCTGGGAAATTAAGATCAATCAAGCTGTTCACTTGAAGCATATTGGAGTAAGTACATCCCTTTCGCCTGCTGAGAATTTAAGATCAATCATGCTCTTCACTTGAAGCATATCGGAATCAGTACACCCGTATCAAATGCTGGGAAATTAAGATCAATCGTGCTCTTTACTTGAAGCATATTGGAGTCAGTACATCCCTTTCACATGCTGAGAATTTAAAATCAATCATGCTCTTCACTTGAAGCATATCAGAATCAGTACACCCGTATCAAATGCTGGGAAATTAAGATCAATCGTGCTCTTTACTTGAAGCATATTGGAGTCAGTACATCCATATCACATGCTGAGAATTTAAGAAATTAAGATCAATCGTGCTCTTCACTTGAAGCATATGGGAATCAGTATATCCATATCACATGCTAAGAATTTAAGATCAATTGTGCTCTTCACTTGAAACATATTGGAGTCTACATCCATATTACATGCTGCGAAATTAAGATCAACCGTGCTATTTTTTTTAACTTTTTATGATCACAGTTACATTTGCCATTGAGTATAATGATAGCTTAATTTCTCAAAATCTGTGTTACTATGGAAGAAAGGGAAGAATATGGACACCAGATCAGAAATGATGTCAGCTTAAGATTTGAATTTAATATTTGATACTAAAAGGTTTACAAGAGCTGAAAATGTATTTATGTGTCGAAAATCTACTGCATCAAATATATTTATTTTGGGCTAAATGTTTTTTCTCTCTCTCAGTGTGAAGGATCATACTTTATATTAATTATCTATGAAGAGTAATACAGAGCTTCAGATTGGTGAGAATATGTGTGAAAATGATGGACCACACGTTTCAGAAATGTTCAATGATGCCAAGGTGAGTTACATTTTGGGTAACATCTCTATCAGCATGGTCAGTGACCTGCCCCTTTGCAATCTGAAGCACTGATAATGACCCATTTTCTTAAATGATGAATGACAAATGTCAATTGATTAATTTGTGCCAAAAGCAATGTTTGAGCAGTTGTATGTTTTTTTCATGTGATATGTAGATACAATATTTTCTAAATTGTCTTTACCACACTCTCACATCAAACTTTATATGTATGTGATGGATATCAACATATTGGCAATGCAATTTATTTATTGGGACCATTTCACTTGTCCTTGTACATGTGTTGAATATTGATACACTCTTTACAGGTGCTCCCCACAGAAGCAATAATGGTGCTTTGAATTGTCAAAGAATATATTTTGGTATCATATGAGATTATTTATTAAAACAGAGCTCTATTTTACATGTTGAATAAATGTAATTTTGTTAAAAACCCTTCTTGACTTTCATTTGATGGATGTGATGGACACTGATGGTGCATGTAATGTGTTGAATGTGTATGTGATGGTGTATGATCACTGTCACAAGCACTGGTTTGTCTGGTCCAGAAGTACTGCTGTAACACTGTCACAACCACTGGTTTGTCTGGTCCAGAGGTAGTGCTGTAACACTGTCACAACCACTGATTTGTCTGGTCCAGGAGTACTGCTGTAACACTGTCACAAGCACTGGTTTGTCTGGTCCAGAAGTACTGCTGTAACACTGTCACAATCACTGGTTTGTCTGGTCCAGAAGTACTGCTGTAACACTGTCACAAGCACTGGGTTGTCTGGTCCAGGGGTACTGCCGTAACACTGTCACAACCACTGGTTTGTCTGGTCAAGAAGTCCTGCTGTAACATTGTCACAACCACTGGTTTGTCCGGTCAAGAAGTCCTGCCGTAACACTGTCACAAGCACTGGTTTGTCTGGTCCAGAAGGACTGCTGTAACACTGTCACAAGCACTAGTTTGTCTGGTCCAGAAGTCCTTTTGTAACACTGAAACAACCACTGGTTTGTCTGGTACAGAAGTCCTGCCGTAACACTGTCACAAGCACTGGTTTGTCTGGTCCAGAAGTACTGCTGTAACACTGTCACAATCACTGGTTTGTCTGGTCCAGAAGTACTGCTGTAACACTGTCACAAGCACTGGGTTGTCTGGTCCAGAAGTCCTTTGGTAACACTGTAACAACCACTGGTTTGTCTGGTCCAGAAGTCCTGCCGTAACACTGTCACAAGCACTGGTTTGTCTGGTACAGAAGTACTGCTGTAACACTGTCACAAGCACTGGTTTGTCTGGTCCAGAAGTACTGCTGTAACACTGTCACAACCACTGGTTTGTCTGGTACAGAAGGACTGCTGTAACACTGTCACAACCACTGGTTTGTCTGGTCCAGAAGTACTGCTGTAACACTGTCACAAGCACTGGTTTGTCTGGTCCAGAAGTACTGCTGTAACACTGTCACAAGCACTGGGTTGTCTGGTCCAGAAGTACTGCTGTAACACTGTCACAACCACTGGTTTGTCTGGTCCAGAAGTACTGCTGTAACACTGTCACAAGCACTGGTTTGTCTGGTCCAGAAGTACTGCTGTAACACTGTCACAATCACTGGTTTGTCTGGTCCAGAAGTACTGCTGTAACACTGTCACAACCACTGGTTTGTCTGATCCAGAAGCCCTGCTGTCACACTTCTGCGATGGCTAGTTAGAGTGTCTTTCTATTCATATCGGACTCAAAACGAAGACGTGATAGCGATTGAATCAGATTACAATGGGGATATGATATACTGCATAATATGGGTGATCCCAGTTACAAAGGGGATATGATATACTGGATAATCGGGTGCTTAAATCAAGAAATTACTCTGGACCAGACAAACCATTGGTTGATGTTATGACCAACGTCCTATATCGTCGGGGAACGATGACACACAATCAACCAAGTCACCTAGCCTGACAATTCAGTCACCCCTTTCGACAAAGAAATGATTGTGGTGACGTGCTCTGAGCCGGCGGCTTAGGCGCCTCGATTCGCTGTGCAGAGTTGCGTCCCTTGGGCACGTCAGAAACCTGTGATTTTGGGTTCGAATCCCGATTCACCCCGATTATGTTTCTAGGTTTGTCAGCACCAAACCCGTGCTCATGTTTTTCAACAAAGAATTAAATGTCCAAGACTTTAAGTTGACACGCCGTGATATAACTGCAATACTGTTCAAAACCAACTTACTGACTATTACTCGGAATCCCAAGGGGTAGTACAGAACGGATCAAGTCAATTATTTTCAGAAATCTTGCCATTCAAACGGGTCTGACAATCTTCAAGTTATTACAGATAAATATTTGAATTATCTCCATAGCATTTGTATCTTCTCGGAAAATAAACGTCATTCGTTGATTGATGAGTAAGTTTTCTTAAAAGATGGAAAGGAAATGTCCAAACATCCATAAAACTAAAAGGAAATTAAAACAAATGCAGAAAATCGATATTCCCTACAGCTAATTGTCGCTCTCCTGCTCGTCTTTTGAAGCATATTTGAAGAATTCTTTTTGGATGAGCAACTATCTCCCTTTGAACAACGCTTCTGTTCACCTTTGATATTCTACTATTCGAATACTTGAAGCCGGATATTGAATAGAGGGATATGTTCATCTGTTATGCACAGGCAACACAGTACGACTCATTTCAACTTAATACATCTTGTCTTATATTGCTAAACGTACAGACAACCTACCTAACTTTCGATATCGACTTTAACTGTGAAGAAGTCCTTCAGTTCGGCAACTACACACGGTTCCACCAGTCATTTCCTTGACATTCAGCAGCCACCATGGTGAAGCATACAGCAGCGCTATGCAAGAACTTCGCCCTGGCAGCCTCGGCTTTCGGCATTATCTTGCCTTTTGTGATGAGGTGAGTTGAGTAAATGCGGTGTGTATATCACTTTACGTTGTTGGTTTGACGCCGCTCTGAACAGTATTAGAGGACGGTAAGGACCAGTTCAGAAGTTCGATGTCGGATAAAAAACTTAATTCATAAAGTTTTGAGACATAAGTTGAGTTTAGTGGCCTATTTTGTCAAACATTCTTGTGTTTAGTCCAACTTTTTCAGAACGTTTATAAACTGAGGTTTGTTTTCTTGGTGTTGAAAATCATTTCTTGGGTTTGCATAGATCTAATCTGCCATTCTATATTACCACTATATTACAAGAAGGACGCCAAAACCCTACCTCGTGGAAAGACCGAATTTATTAAATGACAACAGCATTTAAAATAAAATAGTTTTTGCTTAGTTTAGTTTCCATATTATGGAAGCGTATTAGTGCCACAGTCTTAAAAGAATTATCACCTACGTAAATACTTCTTTAATTAAATGTTTGGGTGCATGTTGGTTGTTGGTTGTTTATTTTCAACGTGTCAAACTATTAGCGCTAAAAGTGAGTGAGTTGGGTTTAACGCCGCTTTTAACAGTATTCCAGTTATATCACGGCGTGTCAGCTGAGGTCTCAGACGTTTACCACTTCGGTGAAACCCACGAGCACGGGTATGGTGCTGACAAACCTAAAAAACATAATGTGAGCGAACCGGGATTCGAACCCACAGTCATAGGTTTCTGGTGTGCCCAAGGGACGCAACTCTGCACAGCGAATCACGGCGCCTTAGACGACTGGGCCACCAGTGTCCCCTATTAGCGCTAAAATAAACACAAACTGCAGAATTGTACCTTCAGTGCTTTATAGGATGATGATGAGTATTAGTTTGATATAGGTTTATAGTTTGAATGATTCTCACCCCTTCACAAGGGGCGATCGGGTAGCCTAGTGGTTAAAGCGTTCGCTCGTCACGCCGAAGACCCGGGTTCGATTCCCGACATGGGTACAATGTGTGAAGCCCATTTCTGGTGTCCCCCGCCGTGATATTGCTGGAATATTGCTAAAAGCGGCGTAAAACCATACTCACTCACTCACTCACTCACCCCTTCATATTCACGTTTTACCTCTTAAACCTAATTTCCGTAATGTTTGTTTGTTTGTTGTTTAACACCGCACTCAGCAATATTCCAGCTATATGACGGCGGTCTGTAAATAATCGAGTCTGGACCAGACAATCCAGTGATTGACAACATGAGCATCGCTCCACGCAATTGGGATCGATGACATGCATCAACCAAGTCAGCGAGCCTGACCACCCGATCCCGTTAGTCGCCTTTTACGACAAGCATAGTTGCCTTTTACGGCAAGCATGGGTTGCTGAAGACCTATTCTACCCCGGATCTTCACGGGCCTTCCGTAATGGAGAAATCATGAGGATCAACATATTCCTCCGGCTTTAACCATATCATAATGTCGCTAAAATTTTGAATAGTGACATAAAGCTTTTTTATTTGTTTTGTAGTTTGGAGAACATTTTGTGCTCTCCTCTCTTTATTACGGTTGTACGAGAATATGGTGTGTGTCAGTTTCAGGTAACTTCGACATATTGGAATGAAGATTTACTTTATGCAGTGTTTAGATAGTACCTCATTCAAGACATGTCAAGGTAGAAGTCAAACGAATCGGTCATTATTAATTAAGCCAGTGGTTATAAATAACTGACCCGGAACTAGTGTCGATTACTCGAGAAAATATTGATACCTTGATGAAAGCATCTTCTACGCAGATATGAGCAGTATCATTTTCGTAGATGAAAGTATCTATTATAATCCGGGTACCCCAGGCAATGTTCCAGGGTAAAATAAGCCACAAACCCCAATGATTTTGAAGAGACGACTAAAATGGGGGTCGAGTCGTCACCACGCATTATCTTGCTGATCGTATATGTTCCCATGGCGCGGATCGCTGGTTTTAATAACGAAGACTCGAGTATGTTTATGCTGCCGTGCTATAGCTAGAATATATCGACGTTTAGCATTCACTCAGATACAACCTGCTATTTGTTTTAGATCACATGGCTACGACCTACTGCGGCCTGTCACCCCACCTCAAAACATGACCAGTTACGAGATCGCCACAGTCGTCGCCCTGTCATTGTTGAAGTGCAGCATGGCTTGCTTTAGACTGACAGAATGTCGCTCCTTCTTTTACGACGTCGCCGACGGCGGCTGTCAGCTCCACCGCACAGTTCAGGTGTCGTCAGCTAACAACATGAAGTGGACGGTGTTCTATGTTAGAGGTGAGTAGGGAGACATCCTTGGATACAAAAACGTTATCCGGGTTGTGCTGATAACTGGTCAAAGGTTCCTGGACATGTTCAATCGGGTCACCTTCTGGCCTGGTGTCAACATTCTGGGTAACCATCTTGCTGACAGCTGGCTAATGCGGAATGCGTCAGGTTAGATGGACCGTATTGACCTAAACTTTACCTCATGTCAGTCATGCAACCACCGAACAGTCAACCTCAACTTCAGCTCCAGACGTGGCATCTTTAGAACGAGCTACAAACCTATGAATGTGGGTTCGAATCGCGGTTCTCCCCGGTTATGTTTCTAAATTTGTCAGCACCATACCCGTACTCGAGGGTTTCACCAAAAAGGTAAATGCCTGAAGCCAAAATCAGTTCGGGCTTTCCTCCCACATAATCTGACACGGCGTGAAACTGTATTTTTTTTAAACAGCCTTAAATCCGACTTACACACTTTCCGAGGAAGGTAAAAGTAACACTTATGAACAAGTAAAAAAAAACAGCATGAGAAAATCATACGATACGCTTATAATATTTAGAGTATTAAATATGTTTCAAAAAAATGTTGACAAATCAGGTCAAATATGTGATTCGAACGCACGACCATAGGATCATGGCTGTACATATGGAGGCAAATGTGCACAGTTCTGTCTGTGCGTTTCTTTCTCTCCTTTACTCCCTGCTAACGAAAACAATATACACGGAAGTCATTATTTTGACGTGATGAGGTCGATTAATCTCTTTTCATATCCATCTCAAGAAAACAGAGTTAAGATATAAGTCAAATATTACTATCTTACCAAACATAGCGACAAATCCACAGAGACCTCAAGCGTGTACACTTGTCTACATCAAAGTCAAGTTGTGAAAACCAGGCTTTGATTCGGGCTCGGGGACACCTTTGCCTCAGGTAGAGGTGTGTGTGTGTGTGTGTATGTGTGTGTGTGTGTGTGTTGGGGGGGAGGGGGGGGCGCATAAAACAAGTGCTGACTACATTGCACGGTATCAACCATGGTCACTCGAACTTGTGCGTTAGCCATATTGACCTCAGATAAATAAGTTGCACTCTTTATATATACCATCAAATACAACGACCCTCCTCTAAACTCATCGGTATCATAACCCATATCAACTATGAAACTAATTGTTTGTTCAATTAAGATACTGATCATCTGTTCTCCTGTGTTTAAACATCCAAATGTATTATTTTTTACGAAACGACTCTCTAGTAAATCTCCTCTCCTCTGTTTGAACAGCACGGGCGCTAATCTAAACTACGGTAATCCGGTGTTTTTATAGCAATTACTCATTTCTTGCTTTCGTAGGACAAATACCCCAACTTGGGTTTTCGCTTTACCGATACTAGGGAAAATTGGATTTTCGCTAACCAGGCACGACACCCTTCACCCAGTATATGAGATATGCGTCACTTCGGGCTTTCCTCCCACAGTAAGCCGACACGCCGTGATACAAGTGTAATACTATATTCAAAGCGGTGTTAACCCGACTCACTCACTCACCCATTGATAAACTTCCATAGACTAGTGACACTTCCTCGTACGAAAGTCTTCTATTTGCATCATCATAGACAGGCTTGATGTTCAGGTCAAGGAGGCGACACTGGGTTTAACGTCGTTTTCAAGATTAGTGCACGTCAAAATGTGTTGTCTTTAAATACTTCTGAGGTTAGTTTTGCGGTCATGCGACCGACTTCTCATCCAACGGAAAAGCCGTATGTCGTGTAAACTTCACGTTAACATTTATTCTTAGTTAGATTTAATCCCAAGCAAGTTATGATTGCCGTACGAGGCATCTTAATGGATCGGGTGGTCAGTCTCGCGGTAATTTGGTTCCTGATTTGTGACGTCATCAACCTATAACATTATTTTGAAAGTAAGAATTCCCGTTTCAGTTACTCCCTACTGGTGTCCTAGGGACTTTATTCTCAGTCAAGGGATGTGCCTGAAGTATCATACAGGCGCGAAAACCTGGCTCGAGGCTAATGCCACCTGTACTCTCTACCCCGGATACTCTAGACTGGTTGTCATGGATACGGAACGGAAGACCAACCTTGTCAAAGCGACTGGGATTGCGTCGAATCTTGTTTTCAGTACGTTGAACATTTAAAATATATATATACTGATCCATGCACGAATCTCCATGAAACGTGAATAATTTCTCTCTCTTTTACAAGTCCTTTAAAAAAAAAATGTCTTGGGAAAATGGAATATGTAGTGTTGATCTTCAGTGTTGGTTTGTGAATGACCGAGCGAGTTAATCGTGGTTTACGCTATATACTCTCAGCAATATTTCAGCCAGGCATCGCAGAGGGAGAGCGCCAGAAATGGGCTTCACACATTGTGCCGAAGTGTGGAATCGAACTCGGGCATTCGGCGTGACGAACCAAAGCTTTAACCACATGACTATCCCACCGCCCCCTTGTCGCGGTTTCATGACACGATATCTGCAACTTGCAGTTAGTGACCCTCTGTCCATGCTAGTATGTGCACCTTTGCGGCGCAGTTAGTGAGTATAGTCTTACTCCACTTTTAGCAATATTCCAGCAATGTCACGGCGGGGGACACCAGAAATGGGTTTCACACATTGTACCCATGTCGGGAATCGAACCCGGGTCTTCGGCGTGACAAAGGAACGCTTTAACCACTAGGCTACCCAAATGCCCCTAAACGGCGCAGAGTCCCATGTAATAGCTTGTTCTTTAGGCCTCGGCGTTTATGTATGGACGACGATCCGATTGACCGGTCAGCTTGTGAAGACTAGAACCTGACGGACCATGCAGTCAGACTGACCCGACAAGTCGGCTCGTGATGACGACGATTCGACGGACAAGTCAACTATGGCGACAACGTTGACCTGACGGAGGAGTCATCTTGTGATGGTGACCTGAGCTACGAGTCGGCTAGTTACGACGATGATCTGAATGAATTGTGAGCTTATTATGGCGATGACTCGATGGACTTGCCAGCTCGTGAAAACGATGACCTGGCGGACTGTAGTCAGCTTGTTACGACGATGATCTGACTGAATAGTGAGCTTATTATGGCGATGACTCGATTGACTAGTCAACTCGTGAAAACGGTGACCTGACTGAATAGTGAATTGGTGACGACGATGACCTAATGGACTTGTCAACTTATGACGATGATGACCTGACGGACTAGTCAACTTATGACGATGATGACCTGATGGACTAGTCAACTTATGGCGACGATGACCTGATGGACTAGTCAACTTATGACGATGATGACCTGACGGACTAGTCAACTTATGACGATGATGACCTGACGGACTCGTCAACTTATGTCGATGATGATCTGACGGACTAGTCAACTTATGACGATGATGACCTGACGGACTAGTCAACTTATGTCGATGATGATCTGACGGACTAGTCAACTTATGACGATGATGACCTGATGCACCAGTCAACTTATGACGATGATGACCTGATGGACGAGTCAACTTATGACGACGATGACCTGATGGATGAGTTAACTTATGACGATGATGACCTGATGGACTAGTCAACTTATGACGACGTTGACCTGATGGACTAGTCAACTTATGACGATGATGACCTGACGGACCAGTCAGTTTTTGAAGACGATGACCCGATGGACTGTTACATTTATGGCGACGATGACACAGCTTGCACAACGCAGTAAAACAGAGCGACGGTTGTGACGTGACGGTAATGTTTGAATCATTTCTTATATGTTCTCCTCCTTTCAGCTAAAGGTATATGGGTCGGGCTCTCTGACCACTCCTCACCACGAAGGGAGCTACTCTGGGTCGACCATCAACCATTTAATGCTGTCATCGAGTATTATGATCGAGTCCCAGACGACGAAAACCTTTGTGTTAGAATAGTTCGTGCTTTGGATTGGGCGTTGGTTGTGTCCGTCTGTAGAAGACGTGTACATTACATTTGTGAAATTGTTCCAAGCAGCGAGAACATGGCTCTGGAACGACTTCTGCAGATTCTATAACAGAACATTCCTCGGACAATATGCGACTGAAATCAGCCCCGCTTCTAATTGTAAAACAGTTTCATCCTCGATATTTCAGTGTTTTGTTTCTCCACATTATGATTTATACCCTGGGCCCACGCACCATTTTCGTTCCGTGAGTGACGTCTCCGTGTCACTAACAACCAACTTTTACAAGAACACATAGTCCTGGTAAATGGGAAGATGTTTTTTCAGAAGCTTTGTGAAAATAAGAAATTTGGAACATGTTTAATGGCCAATAGATACACACAAAGTATAAGTATGAAGTTGATCCAGTTCAAAATCATTCATTATATTTAAACAAACATCACGCCACCGAGCCAGAACATCCGATCCATTTGGACGCCTCGAACCACCAGAATAGGTTGCAGGAGAGCTTTTCCTACCTGGCATCCCCACACTATATACAGCAGAGAGGATGTACAATACAGGTTCATTGTCCCCCGCCACAGAAACCGTTTAATATTTTATTACGAAACTTTGCATGTGTATCAAAAACATATTGAGCTGGTGTCTTTTGATTTTTGTTGGTATTTCTGAAGAAATTGTGTGTTTCCTTGGTAACGAATTAGACTCAAATGCGTGTAGCATTCGTTTCCGGAGCATAACTCGGAAACCGTTTCATATTATATCACGAGTGAGTGAATGTGGTTTTACGCCGCTTTTAGCAATATTCCAGCAATATCACGGCGGGGGACACCAGAAAAGGGCTTCACACAGTGTACCCATGTCGGGAATCGAACCCGGGTCTTCGGCGTGACGAGCGAACGCTTTAACCACTAGGCTACCCGACCGCCTCCATATATTATATAATGAAACTTTGCATATGTATCAATCAGTTTATTGTATTGCAACGACACGTGTACCAATGTAACTCTCGAGAAGAATGAAATCCTAATATGGTGCGTCTTCTGTGCTGCCTTGAAAACTGCGTGTGAGGGGATTGTCCAGATGGAGTGAGTGAGTTGGGTTTTACGTCGTCTTGAACAGTGTTCCAGTTATGTCACGACGGCGTGTCAGCCCTGCTGTGAAAGGAAGCCCGAAACATATTAATTCCACTTTGGAGAAACCCACAGCCACGGGTATGATGAAACCTAGAAACATAATCGGGGCTAATCGGGAATCGAACTCACAATAATAGAGCTCGCGCGAACCCAAGGGACGCAACTCTACACGGAGCTAGTTAATACACATTCAGTGCCGCAGATTATTAACAAAGCATGTAGAAACATCAACATCAACCGCCTCACCCGGCAAGAGCAAATTCAAACCAGCAACCACGAGCCTTGATCTACACAGAAACGTCGCCTTTACAGCCAATAAAGAAGTTGTTGTCCATAAATTGTGTCTTCCTTGTCATCCGCCGCCAACTTCTAAGTAATATGCCTATCAAACATCATATAGAAGTGTGTGCGTGTGTATGCGCTAGTACGGCCTAATGCCGGTGTTGTTGAGCTGACCCATTCCGCAGTTTAACTTAAATACCCAACTCCGATACAATATGTTCTGACTCCGAGCCGACCAGTCCTTGTTTTATCCTTCATGCCGTGGTCTTGTGGTAGAGCGTCCGCCCGGAGAGCGGAAGGTCCAGGGTTCGATCCCGGGCCGCGTCATACAAAAAGACGTTAAAAGCTTGTACTTGTTGTTACCCTGTCTGGCGCTCGGCATTAAGGGGCTAAAACAAGGACTGGTGGGCTCGGAGTCAGTATACTGTGTCTGAGTGGGGTATTCATGTTAAACTGCGGCATGGTATCTCAGTGAGCTAGCACTATAAATCGGCATCAGTCCGGACTAGTACAAGCAGCCACACACACACATACACGTGCATGCACGTCGCTATATAAGCGCAATTATCTTGGACGCGAGTTAAACCCAATTTCACCTCACCTCACCTCACCTCACCTCACCTCACCTCACCTCATGCCGAGCGCCAGGCTGAGTAACAGCACGGACTTGTATAACTTACCATCTTTTAACGTATTTTATAAGAATATAACTCGGTCGCCTGGATGAAATTACTAAAACAATATATATATTATTTCTTTCTTCTCATAATTACTCATTATATATGTTGAGGAGAGCTAGAGCTCTGCAAGACCGAATTGCATCCGTAAACCTTAATCTCCGCGGAACAACGTGTTTTCGGAACACTAAACGAACAGATCACGCGAATGCGTTTACACGTGACAAAAATGGCAGCCTCCATGGCGAAGAAGGAAGGCAGTATGTTTTCAATCAGCCTTTTGAAGCGATTCCTCTTTGATCCGGATTCGTCGTGGATGATTATGATTCTCTTACTTCTGGCCGAGGTTGCTGTCAATGTTGTCGTCATCGACAAAGTCAAATGTAAGTACAAACATTAGAACTGTCATTTAGAAGCCGGCAGTTCAGTTTTCGATCATCCAATGAACATTTTGAGCGGCTGTTGTTTTTCGCTTCAATATTAAAACTGTTGCAAATGTAGGACGCCGAACTGTAATTAAACGACTCAGTACTGGATTGAACAAAGCTTGATTGTATAATCAACGATACAACACGTCTGTTTACGATGATACAAACTCTAAAAGGTTAAATATACATGATCCAGGATACATTCAATCTTATATTAGCTGTTTACTCCGATAACGATCCGTCAGAGGATATGAGTTAAAGATCTGATTTTTTTACACTGACATTGACCTGATTTCATATGCGCAAAGTAGGGCTGGGACAGGTAACTCGGGTACCCGGGTCGGGTAGGTACTGTGAGGACCCGGGTACCCACAGGACTACCCGGACCCGTGGTTAGTGACATTATGTATTGTTCCATGACAAAAAATTCCTATAAAACTACTTTGTTAAACTACAATTTAAAGTCTCTAATGTTCGCATTTCTTCATGACTATGAACACGTTCCTTCTGACTTAAATATGTTTGAACAAAGCTAAAACTTAAGTCAACTTCAGTGTGACCACATCGTTTTATACGTGTATCTAAAAACATTCTGCCAGGGCTACTGTGAAACTATTCCAAATCGGACATTTTGTACCTATCTCTTGATACCAACAGCGGGTACCCGGGCAGGGTCGGGTAATAGGGGTGAGGGAAACCCGGGTAGTAAATTTGGACTCGTCCCTGCCCTAGCGCAAAGGTATATTTTTTTAATGTCTTTTAGTTTCTACTAATTCATGAGTCAACTCAGTCTTCCCAAATGTTCAACTGATAGTTTGCTAAAAAAAGTTTGGTCAGGATTTAGTACTGAACTCATTTCTGATATTCTGAATAGATCTTGGTTAAATTCTGTGAAAAGGTGAGCACTTGTATCCTGCTATTGTTATGGGGAAGTGTTATCATATAGCTCACATGATAGGCATGATTGACAGAAAAGTTAGGGACTTTTTCATTTTCTTTTCCTGAGTTTACAATATCATGCGCTATCATCACTCTTGATATTTATGTTCCAGACACAGAAATAGACTGGATTGCATATATGCAGGAAGTCGGCGGGGTACTGAACGGCACATACGACTACATGAAGCTGAAAGGGGACACCGGACCTCTTGTGTAACTACACTGCTTCTTCTATGTTTGTCCCGGGGACTCTTAGTGATGAGTTGGGTAGTCCTAGGCTTGAAAATGGGGGTGCAGGGGGAACTACTCTACCAACAACAAACAACATGTGAAGTATTTGTGAGACCTTAATCTAATTGTAGAATGTTTGATGAAACCTACTGACTGAATGAAAATATGACATGGAGAGTAACATTTAATGTGCATGCTGCTTTACAGGACCAAGATTGATTGGCGTTGATGATATCTTTGCATCCCATGGGACTTGCTGTGCAAACTGTCTATGTCCACTCTCAAACTTTATGAATTTATGGGACACAATATTTTGCTCCTGACAAAACCCTAGCATACATTATTATACTCCAGTATTATAACATTCATGTATCACAAAATTTGTTAATCATGTTTAGAACCATGAAAGATATAATGCACTGTGCATTAAGGAAACATTTCCGCCATCTTCCCGAGGCAAGAGAGTTAACTGACTATAAAAGTCCAGTTTCCTAACTAGGCTGGGATTATGGAGTTACATTTTGGCTGGACTAACGGGTCTATGCATAGTCCAATCAAAATCGCGCACCGAAATCGAAATCCGGTTCATAAACTGTCACGCAGAGTTCGGTGGATTGCAGGATTTGCAAAGCATGTGCATCGGCAACTCGTTGTCAACAGATATTTTACAAATCTTTCATATTTTTAATCAAGGTGCTCACGTGATTTGATGTACTTCGCGAAGTAAATCACTGTTTTATATCAAAATAGATCTTGATGGTCGATCAGATCGTCTTGACTGGGCGTCACCATTTTCTTTGTAGCATATGCTTGTGATACGAGAGGTGGAATCTGATTGGTCCATATGGGAGAGGCATAGAATGGACATAACTCTTAATAGCCACTGGTGGTGCTACGATCAAACCCAGGAATTCCAGCCTAGTTCGGCAAGGGTCGAAACTGGACTTTTAAAGACAGTTTACTCTCTTGCCTCAGGAAGATGCATTTCCGCCCGAACCGTTTCAAATCTGCTTGACTAAAGGAAGTTTGACCTGCATTTATAGTGAAACCATTTTTGACTTGAAAATCCACCTTGTTGACAATTTCTTTTGGGGATGTATACATACATACAAATGGATTTTAATCTGTACCATGATTATGTACAGATCATTCCACACACTGGGTTTACCATATTTAAAGAAGTTTTACGGATTCACTGACCCTCAAGTCATTCTATGGAGAAAATTCATTTCCTTTGACAGCGTTTTCATTACTGCCAGGCCTAATAATCACACTTGCATGGAAACATAATCAATTGAATCTGTCTGTGAAAAGTGATACATGAATGTTTGTCAAAGATGGCAAGTACTATTCATAGCTTTACCTATACTCGCTCTTCCCATGCAAATACTATTACATTAATGACATACCTGTCACATTTAATGAAAGGAAAAATAGAGAATGCCTTCCCACTCTATATTTATACATTTTTAAAATCAATTTGTAGTGTCAAAGTTTGATATATGTTTTTACTTCCAACCAAACATTTTGAAAGGGAAAAATCAATTTATGAAGGTCTGAATATCATTTTTATGAACTACGGTGTTGCAGGTACCCAGCGGGGTTTGTGTACATCTACAGCTTTTTTTACTATGTGACTGAAAAGGGCACAGATCTCAAGACTGGACAGTACATCTTCGCAGCCTTATACCTGCTGACGCTGATTGTCGTCTTTGATATTTACAGACACACCAGGAAGGTCAGTGGTAGTTATACTGTGTTTGTTCTATTAATCGATCCTCTCCATTGAGCCGAAGGCTCGCATAGAAGTTTTTTTAAGGATATTTACGATACAGAAACAAACAGCTAATACTGTCTACTCTATTTTATTACTTGCCCGTGAAGAGATCACCCGTTTAATAAACATACAGCTGTATTACACATTGTGTAATACCAAAACGCGTGCTTATGTACTTTTGGAACACGTTTCACGAACAAATATTGAAAACTCGCAACATCCCTGGGCTTATTCAACGACATTGTGTGTGGAGTTAATAGATCACTGAGAGGAGCTTATGCACACTCAATGACCCCAGCAACCTTGTTGCTAGGCTGATGTCACATGGCATTGTTTCGCCGATGGATCTTGCAACAAAATTCAACAATTTACATCATCGGGTATTGTGATGTGATTGTAAACTTTGAGGTGCAAGGCCCGTGCCACAAGACGATCGTATTGTATCGTTAGTCTAAGTTAAAGTATGTGATTTGCGATTAGCCCTACGATAATTTTGTGGAACAGACGCCTGAATTCTAAAGGTGGACTGTTGTATGGTATTAAATTCATACGTTTCAACTTTTGACATGTTTGAAGTATTACTCTGTTAAACTCAATTGGACTATGCCGTGGATTGTGTAGGTGTCAACCTATTCATACTCAACAGTATAATTCTTAAAACGTTATAAATGGCAAGTAATAAATAAAATACTAAACTCGCTCCCGTGTAAAACCAATTTTATGAAACTCGTGAATAGTTGTGGCATCTAACTCGCTTTCGCTCGTCAGATACCACAACTATTCACTCGTTTCATAAAATTGGTATTACACAGGAGCTCTTTTAGTATTCTATATGTATCTATAGTATCTTGATACGTATCTTATCGCGACCCCACTGTATCATTACAGCTCTGTTAGACACAGGATTATTACTGATGTCTGTTCCAGGTCCCTCCGTACATGTATGTGTTCATGTGCTGCACATCATACAGGATACATTCCATCTTCATCCTGCGACTCTTCAATGATCCAGTTGCCATGCTGTTGTTGTACATGTCCGTGGCCCTCTTCCTTCGAGACCACTGGATGGTTGGCTGCCTCTTCTACAGGTGAGGACCAGATTCTTCCATCTACTCTTCCGTTGATGCTAATGTTTTCCACAATATCCTTGGTGTCATAGTTTTCAAATCCCAAATATCATTTTACCAAGTTTGTTGAAGGACAAAATCACAAATTAAGCATGTTGATAGGGTTAATAATTCAAAGATTTATTTAATATGTTTTGTCGCTGTTTGAGTTTTAACAAGTAGATGTAGCTGGAGAAATGTTTAATGTGACTTAGTAGTTTCAGTACAAAGCTCTACTGGCCTGTGGACCCAGGGCATACATCAAAATAGATTGGAGATATGTTACCATGGTAACACTGGATAGTTGAGGATGTTGTTCTGGTTCAAATCCCAGATTTGCCATAATGATGATCCATGGTTTGTCAGCACCATTCATGTGATCGTGGGTTTCACTAAAATGGTAAACAGCGACAATCTTTTTCCTCTCAAAACAAGTCGTCACTTTGTAATATGTCGGAAATAATGATGAAAGTGATGTCAAATAAAATCATTTGTCAGTGATGATGGATCATGGTAACTGGACCTCACGTTTGCTGAATTAGTCCCTGCTTCTACACCTGCATGTGTTGGTTTCCACGTCAGCCTCACATTGTGTCCTGTGTGTTTCCAGCCTGGGTGTGTCTGTGAAGATGAACCTGTTGCTGTTTGCGCCTGCGGTCTTCCTGCTGTTAATGATCCGACACGGCACGCTGGGCACCATACTCCGCCTGGCTATATGTGCTGTCACTCAGGTATGTCAACACCTGGTTTGTATACAGTTTTAATAGCTGGTTTGTTAACACCATTAACAACTGGTCTGCCTGTAATGTTAGCAGCTTGATTGTATACAATGTTAACTGGATTGTGTGTGACATACACTGCGAGACTGTTTGTCTCTTTTATAAGCACTATAGATTGTAAAGTATGTTTTCAGCTTTGTCTCAGCCTATGATTCCACATACAGAAATACTATTGATCGTGTTATTTCTGCCACTTTAATTTTTGTTTTAAGAAGACCTTTAACCAGACACCTGTCGCCATTGGGTGGTGTGGGAAAGGGGATGGGGTTGGTTGCTTCCCACACAACAGCTTGAAATATTTGATTTCATAAATGTTATTTCCACCATGTTTGTTGAAATGTGGTCCCAATGGATGTCACTGATGAGGTTGCCACACGTCATTTCAAGTAATTTAATTGATGCTGAGGTCCAATGTGCAATGTTTCTGATTAACCTTGATGTTCAATTTGGATTTTTTTTTCAAATCAGCCATACAAATGCATGAGGAGATATTTTTTACTGCTTATTTAGAGCTTTATTGCCCTATTTTTGAAACTGCAAACCTGTCACCTGTGGATTGAGTGGCACCAAACAAACATGGTGGACAGGTGTCAGTAAAATGCATCTACACCAAGCTTTAAATATATTTTTCAGCTGTCGCTGGGCTTCCCATTTCTGATGGAGAACCCGGTGGGGTATATCAGCAGAGCGTTTGATCTGGGCAGGCAGTTTTTCTTCAAATGGACAGTAAACTGGAGGTTTCTCCCAGAAGAAATATTTCTTAACCGAAATTTTCATGTGGCGCTGTTAGCGGGTCATGTGTTGCTGTTGGTGGTGTTCTTCATCATCAAGTGGAGAAAGTGAGTTTGAATAATAACAGCAGTCGCAGATGTAATTAATGTGCATTGTATTTGAGACCAAGCCCTTCACAGAGTGATGTTGGTGCTATGTGACTCTAATTCGTTAATGTAGACTTGTCCCAGCGATTGCTTTGTGGAATGGGAACCTGGGGTGGAGTAGGTCTATGCTATCTATGATTGTTATATCTACTGGCTGAATGTGTGGCACCCTCAAAATCTCAAACCTACACTAACCGAAACGCGAGCCCTGGACCATATGGAGGTCCTGTATGATTGGTCCTGTAAAATCATGACCAGGAATGGTTTGTTGGCCTCGTGGTTAAAGTGTTGGTTCATCATGCTGTCGTTCTGGGTTTGATTCTCCAATGTGTGAAACTCATTTCTGTTGTTCCCAAAGCTTTCATGATATGCCAATAGCAGTTTTAGTGTCTCCTCTCACTCTGTGATTGATATCTGCAACTGAATATTTTAATAGTACATGACATTTGAAAGAAATATCATTTTGTTTTAAGACTTATTATCCATTCTTTTTAGTTTGAGAAATAATACTTGAGAAATAATACTGGTACAATAGATAATACTACTGAACCATCCTTTTTTAGGAGTTCCTAAAATATCAACAAGTAAGTATATTCAGAAGTAATTATTGTTTTGTTTTTTTCTTTATTTCAGGCTATTCCCAAGTACATTATTTGGCTTCTTCATGAAAAATAGAACAAGGAATTTTTCTCCAGATCATATCCTTTTGTCCTGTTCATGTCCAGTCTTACATTGCATTGTGGGCGGCATGGGATTGAGTGAGTGAGTGAGTTGGGTTTAACGCCGCTTTTAACAGTATTACAGTTATATCGCGGCGTGTCAGCTTAATGTGGGAGGAAAGCCCGAAGTAATGCAGGTCTCAGACGTTTACCACTTCGGTGAAACCCACGAGCACAGATATGGTGCTGACAAACCTAGAAACATAATCGGGGCGAACCGGGATTTAAACCCACAATTATAGGTTTCTGGCGAGCCCAAGGGACGCAACTCTGCACAGCAAATTGCTGCATGGGTGGCACAGTGGTCAGTGAATTCGCTGTGCTGAGTTACACCCCTTAGGCATGCCAAAAACATATGATTGTGGGTTTGAATCCCGGATTTGGCCTGATTATGTTTCTAGGTTTGTCAGCACCACATGGGTGCTCATGGGTTTCATCTAAGTGTTAAAGACCTGCATCACATCAGACTTTCTTCCAACATCAAGGTGACATGTTCAGCGCGGCATTTAACCAAACTCACTGACATCATGTGGTGGGAGACATGTTGGTAGTTTTCACATGAAGAATGTTTTGTATCTGCCTTAACCGTCTCTACAGATTATACAGAGATATGTTGGTAGTTATCACATGAAGAATGTTTTGTTTCTGCCTTAACCGTCTCTACAGATTATATTGCCTCTTTTTACTGCCAACTTCATTGGAGTGAGTTTTAGTCGCTCTCTCCACTACCAGTTTTATGTGTGGTACTTCCACACTCTACACTACCTCCTGTGTTCCACGTCATTACCGGGGGTCTTACGGTAAGTCATAACCACTTCCACACTCTACACTACCACCTGTGTTCCACGTCATTACCAGGGGTCTTACGGTAAGTCATGGCCACTTCCACACTCTACACTACCTCCTGTGTTCCACGTCATTACCGGGGGTCTTACAGTAAGTCATGGCCACTTCCACGCTCTACACTACCTTCTGTGTTCCACGTCATTACCGGGGGTCTTACGGTAAGTCATGACCACTTCCACACTCTACACTACCTCCTGTGTTCCACGTCATTACCAGGGGTCTTACGGTAAGTCATGACCACTTCCACACTCTACACTACCTCCTGTGTTCCACGTCATTACCAGGGGTCTTACGGTAAGTCATGACCACTTCCACACTCTACACTACCTCCTGTGTTCCACGTCATTACCTGGGGTCTTACAGTAAGTCATGGCCACTTCCACGCTCTACACTACCTTCTGTGTTCCACGTCATTACCGGGGGTCTTACGGTAAGTCATGACCACTTCCACACTCTACACTACCTCCTGTGTTCCACGTCATTACCAGGGGTCTTACGGTAAGTCATGACCACTTCCACACTCTACACTACCTCCTGTGCTCCACGTCATTACCAGGGGTCTTACGGTAAGTCATGACCACTTCCACACTCTACACTACCTCCTGTGTTCCACGTCATTACCGGGGGTCTTACGGTAAGTCATGACCACTTCTGCACTCTACACTAGCTCCTGTGTTCCACGTCATTACCAGGGGTCTTACGGTAAGTCATGACCACTTCTGCACTCTACACTACCTCCTGTGTTCCATTTCCATTTGAACCGGCTCTGAAATATTTAGTCAAGACGTTTCCACCCAATGTGATGTATGTATGCATATCGCGATACGTATCTTATTGTGACCTATGTATCGTGACCATGCTGTATCATTTCACCCCAAATAAAAGCTATATCCACGAAGGATTTAACACTCACTCACTCACTTGTACCTGCAGGATTCTTGTGCTTGGTCTGATTGAGTTGTGTTGGAACACCTACCCATCCACAGCAATGAGCAGTGCCACCTTGCACTGCTGCCACGCCGTGGTCATCGGCGGACTTCTGTTAAACTTCCGCTCGGACAAGAAAACAGAATGAAAAAGTTAACAGACTATTCATCTAAATAATACATCCAAAGATTTGAGGAGAGAGTTGATAGAATGGTGACATTAAAATGTTACATCAATGAACAGTTGTCTTCCTTGTTGCTAATGGTGAAGGAAGTTTTGTGGACGTCAAATTGTGTGTCAGACACCCAGAGTGCCTTGTAACCCTTGTAACCTTCTGTCTTGTTTGTGTTGTGTGTAGGGCAGTTGCTGCAGAAATATAATATTGCAATTGACACAGAAATTATGAGACCTCAATGATGTTTGATAAGGTTATGCCTATTTTCATGTCAGTCTTTTGCATTGGATATTAACGATAAGCTGTATTGTTATCGTACCTTTCAACAATATGGATGCCAGTCGTAGGAACTGACAGCATCCATCCTCTATATCTCCAGGGCTCGCATTTCAGTAAACCTGAACTAACTCCTGGATCCATTCCCATGGGGCTCTCGATCTCAAATTACCCGTCTCTTGATGGCGTGAAGAACCAGTTAGCAGAATTACAGTCTTTTAGTGTCATTCAAGGTCTATAAGCTATTTCAGAGTTCTGCATGTTTATGCAATGTACAAATCCCCTGTGTTTTTCTATAGGCTTCTAGTTGTCCATGCTTGTGGTAAGAGTCAACTGAAGGATGACAGTCCATACAATCTGTGGCTCATTCCTTGTTATTACTGTATTCATTAATCCTGCATGTTTATCATGATTTGGAGGGGGTAGAAGTGGCCCTGTTGTCCAAGGCGCTGGAATTACCTGTGAACAATTGCATCCCTAAGGTGTCCTAGAAACCTTGGATCGTGGCTGGGAATCCCGGTTTGTCCTGATAATTTTTCCAGGTTCGTCAGCACCATACCTGGAGTTGTGGCTTTCACCTCATGCATCACTTAGGCCTCACACATCAATATGACAAACTGTGAAGTAGAATACTGGACTAAGCAGAGTTAAATCTAACTGACTGACTCATTCACTATGGTTGTTTGGTTGGTTAGATTAATTCCATCTAGTCTTGAGAGTGTGTGGTGAGTGTGGTAGGATCTTTTGAACTGAAATGCTATTAAAACACAATGCCAACTACAAACCATTTTATGGATTTTGTTTTTGTCTTCTTTCATTTTCAAACATGTGAGGATTCCGGGTAAGATATACGTCCCCAGCAACCTATGTTTGTTGCTAGGGAGCATCCATTTGATTTTTAAATGAATAGTTTGTTAAAATATATGACATCTTCCTGAGGCAAGAGAGTTAACTGACTATAAAAGTCCAGTTTCCGCTCTTGCCGAACTAGGCTGGAATTCCTGGGCTCGATCGTAGCACTACCAGTGCTTATTAAGAGTTATGTACCTTCTGAGCCTCTCCTATGGACCAATCCGATTCCATCACTTGCGTTTGTTTCAAACAAAATGGTGGTACTCAGTCAAGACAATCTGATCGATAATAAAGATCTATACTGTGATAAAACGGGTCTTACATCGCGGAGTGCATCAAATCACGCGAGCACCTTGATTAAAAACATGAAAAGGTTTGGAAAATATCTGTTGTCAACGAGTTGGCAGTGCACATGCTTTGCAAATCTTGCAATCGACTGAAATCTGCACGACAGTTTACGAACCGGATTTCGATTTCATTGGGCGATTGTGATTGGACTATGCATAGACTCGTTAGTCCAGCCAAAATGTAACTCCATAATACCAGCCTAGTTCAGCAAGGAGGGGAATTGGACTTTTTAAGTCAGTTAACTCTCTTGCCTTGGGAAGATGAAATATGATTGTTTGATGGTACTCAGTAAATAAATAGTTTGTTGGATATAGCTGGGGAAAAAAATAGATTGTTCTCCAAAAACTTTCCCACCCTCCCACACAAATCAAATGGATGCTTCCTAAGAGGTGACTAAATCGATCGGCTGGTGACTTGGTTGATGCCTGTCATCTATCGCAATTGCGTGGATCGATGCTCATGATGTCAGTCACTGGATTGTCTGGTCCAGACTCAGTTTTTACAGACCTGCCATATAGCTGAAATACAAAAAAAACATTTAATTTTCAGATCACCTGACAGAAAGTAAAGTGAACTTATGTTGTGTACAAGTGAGTTTTTGTTGTGTGCGTCACTTTATGGCTGAAGTATTGCTGATGCGACATTAAATTTTAACTCACTTATGTTGTGTGCTGTCTGTCTGTGGTTTTAGGACAAGTCAATACATCATTACGTAAGTTTTCCTGTCTTTGTTATTTTTTTCTGTAATGGAAAATGGCTATTTTGTGAAAAGATTCACCATTGATCAATACGAGCCAAATATGAACTACATATACAAAATAGATACAATATTTTGAACCACATTCAACCAATACAAATGTTTGTTTTCATTGCCTGTTATTTAAACATGCTTATGTTCAGTACACCACACCACCAGGACAGATCGACTCCCGACATTGATCTCGCATAGTTGTATCCCTTTGATGTACCAGGATCTCTTGTTTGTGGATAGAATACCTGGACAGATCATCTCTCCACAGTGATTTGGCATAGTTGTATCCCCTTGACGTTTCAGGATTTACTGCTTGTGGATAGAACACCTGGAAAGATCATCTCTCCACAGTGTCCACACCACCAGGACAGATCGACTCCCTACATTGATCTGGCATAGTTGTATTCCTTTGATGCGCCAGGATATGCTGTACGTGGGTTCGAATCCATCCAAGATACAGTTACATAAGAAAAATAAATCTTTTTGGTAAAATAACAAACGGTAACCCTCACCTTTGAAATTGGTCAAGTTTATACTATATACCAAGACAATATGTTATCATTGAAATGTTTTTATTACAAGTAATAATTACAAAATATTACAAAAAAGTCTATCTTACATATCCCAGAGCATATGTTAAAACAGACAAACACCCACATTCCGTTCCACTTCTCAGCTCTATCGGCCAATACTTCTCCCATCCTACGCTGAAATTAAGAGATTTGAGGGTTTCTTTATACTGGAGGGTTCTGTGTTAGAATTATATTTATTTAACCTTTTACATAACTTTCTTTCAGGGACTGTATGTTAATCTAACAAAAACGTTTTCTGCAATTGCTTCAAGACACAATGTGTTTTCTGTGAAAAGAGGGGATCACAAAACATCTTTTTTTAGGAAATCAGCATGTTTGGTGAATAATTTTATATATACCAACGGTAAAAAGGGAAAGTTCTGAAATAAAAGAATGCATCTTGGTTGATTGCATGCCATCATACCCTTGTGGCGTGGATTTTTGCTCACAATGTCAATCAATGGATTGTCTGATTCAGACATGATTTTTTACAGGACACCAACATACAGCTGGAATATTGCCGAGTCCAACACAAATAGATTAAATGAAATGCTATAAAATGAAATTATGAAAATATTGTTTTCAATTCAGTATACATTTTTCATGTTAATTGTTTGAACCAATCGAAATACTGAACGATAAAACGTAAAAAACCGATTCAAACAAAACATTCACTTTCGAATTAATTCTCATTTCGACTTGAACCAAAACAGAATATTTGGCAAGTTTCCAACACGCACCTGCTAACGCCCAGAGTAGCCTCCCTTCTCCTATTATCCGAAAAGTTATGCATATTGCTATGAACTGGTAAAATCGATCAAACCTTTTCTACACGTGAAAATATTACACACTATGCCTTTTTAAAAAAGATCGCGATTTAACAGCATCAAATTAATTGTCGACGCGACATCGAAAGTTAATGGATGGAGAGGGCGCTGAGCTCTGTGACGTCATACAACAACAAGGGTTTGTTTGAAAATGGCTGCCTCCATGGCCTAAGGAACCCTCCTGCACTTACGTTTTCGATAAAAATGGCACACAATCAGGAGGGATATTTTTCGTGATGGTTTTCTGTGATGAAATAACATGACTGGATGTAGAAGATAGTGCGCTATCGCCATGGCAGGTGTTGGGAACCAGAGAACATCGGTAAGTCGCCTTTCGATCAGGCGTGACTGTCAAATGCTTGTCTGATCATGACTTGAAAGTGAAGAACGACTGGACGCATTTCATTGTCATGATTTGTCTCGACGAAGCGTATCTATTTTGTGCCAATATGCTTCAACAAACAGCTTAAAAGCATGTAAAAATTCTGATGGAAATGCATATAAACGAAATTCTGGAGGAAAAATAGCCAATTATCAATGAACAGGGACCTCATTTATCAAATCAATATTTTTGAACTCGGTGATTTGGAAAGGAATCTTCAGATCTACGTAGGATTTTGGTAACCAAACTTACAATGAAAAGTGTGAACACAGTTATTTTTAAAAATATTACAATGCAATAGTCATCATAGTCGTACACAAAAGTAATGCCTAATGCTTTATGATGCTAATGGTTCAACATCATCAAACAATATATATAGGTCTATAGATTCTAATAAGTCATTTTCATCTTGTATTTTACATGAATCACAATTCCATTGCTGTGAAGTCAACATCATGTACATTGAATATTTGATGTACCATTCATACCTGTGAATGTTATCTTGTATTGATTTGAATTTCTGTCTTTATACTCGACAGTCAAAATTCTCTTCCAGCTTATATCTTGTATACTAGATATTGTGAAATAATAACAACATGACCAATTGACATGATTGATAAAAAAACGCTAAAAACATAACATGAAAACAATATAGTGTGTTGTCAGATGTATGTGATCTGAGCACCAATTATTTATGGAGGGATTTATTTAGGATTTCAAATTACTGGCAAGCAGCTAAGTGCCCCCTGTCAGGTAATTTTGGAAAGAGTATTATTTTGCTCAACCTTGGTGATTTTTCTCTTCTTTTTTTTTAAAAATTCAGTGGTATTTTTTTAACATTGTATTTGTTGCTTAAATCTAAGCAATATGATCTCTTCCTTTTTCATGGTCATTGGTCTCAACAAGGCCAGAACATTAGTTATTACGATATTAGTTAATTCTAATTTGAGAATTATTACTTACATTTGCTGCAGGCTTGTCAAATATCATCTCTGGACAAGCATAGATAATCCCTGTTGTGAAAACACATTTACCTGAATATGTAAGAACCAAAAAAAACAAAGCATATATCAGTTGTTACACATCAATGTAAATGCACATGTGCCTCAAAACTGACAAACCAATTATTATTGAAAACTAATAAAACATAATCATGCACAATCAGATTCTTCTCATGTTTAGCTTGTTCTGTTGATTGTTTGGTTACCCTGTACACATGCAATGATCATTTACAATTGACCATAAATTGTGGAGTAGAAAGCTGCAAACAATATGATCAAAATTTTATTTAAAAGGTTCAATAATTCCTATGATCTGAAAACAGTTCCACATAACATACATAAGCTGATTTCACATCAGTGTTCCACTGATCAGCTGATCAACTATTTTCATTTTGTTGAATAAGAAATTGCAAATTCAGGTCCTTTGACCATGTTGACATATAATTTCAGGATACACAAAAAAAAGAGCAAATAATTATTTTTTTACCAACATCCAACACAAAATGTCCAGAGTGATTATGTAGGCACAAAAACATTTTTCCCTCCTCAAATTAAACCTGGATATCCGGAGTGCTGATATGAGACGATATAGTCATGCAATACATGAATTCATACATGATATTTAGTGATGTGCATGTTATAGAGTTCACAAGTTCATCATATCCCTTATAATGTTCCTGCGATGCAAATGTGTCAAAGATTATCATTACAATTTCAGAAATGTTATCAATATCTTAAACATGTTCAGGAGGGACCAAGATCCATTGTTCAGAGCCCATTTCTGGTTTTGGTCTGGACATTGCAATTAACATGGTTAGCAATGTTTTTATATTTAAGGTAATCATTAACTGCTTGATTTTGTACATTTTATAGTGTGTGTTAGTAGACATTTTGTTTTAATCAACTTGCTGGGATTGCCAATTTGAATGAGCATGATGAGCTTTGTCCTCCTTTCTAATAATAATAATATAAATAATAAGTGCATTTGTTAAGTGCTGTTTTCCATCCACTATGTGGTTGCTCAAAGCGCACTTAATTATTACCCCGGTCAATGGATCAGTGTGCACTCAAGAATAATTCTCAGCTCCCTGGGGAATATACAACCCAAGCTGCCTGTGAGGCGCTAGAAGGTTAACAGCCACATTGCTAGCTCATCCTACCGGGTACCCATCCACTGATGTGTGAACAGAGGCAAACTACAAATTATGCATAGACGGTTTTACCATATTTACTGTTGAACATGTTCAGTTCTAAACAATGCTAAACAAACTTAATTTTTACTGTCCTGATTATAAGACAACAATGACATGTTGAAAGTTTTAGATTTGACATGGTATGACTGAAAAAGTATTAATCATCATATTTATAAAATCATATTTCTTACATGTATAAAAGGACGGAGACTCTTCAAGTCACTCGCAGAACTGACAAATAATTTTAATGTTCAGCGTTGAATTTTGTATGCGTTCCTTGGCAGTGATTTTGACACAAAAAACTGTAAAAAGATCAATGACTTGGACCAAGAAATGAAATAAGTCAATGGCAAAAGTCAATAAGTCAAATCAAAAATGGTGGACAAACCATGACAACAAATCAATGCAATACCGTTTGTTATTGGATGAATATATACCATCTGGCAAATAAAACACTTGGCAAAGTCACTGCAGCCACTGAGACGTTTCCCTATGATACAGAAAGTATGATGCAAAGACAGGCGCTGCTCAGAATTTCAGTTACAAATTTTGATGGCTGTGCATTGTTTTATTAAATTGATACTGGATGTCGGATGGATCCTTACTATTTAATGTTTAATTGAGAAATTATAAAAGGTGTGAAGCCTTGCTTAGCATTTCTTTCGGTCAAATGTCCAACTACCTGGGTGCTTAAACAAATCATCTGTCAAACTGCAATCTTATCGGTCTATGACCAGTGACCGATGGCCATTTTAAACTTGGGATGCAGTTTAGTTTTGGTCGTACTTTTATGTATCCTGTAAAATGAGTTGAAGGTACTTAGGATTTTTAAACTACTTACTTCAAACAGTATATGTCATCTACTTCCAGTCTTAAAAGGTCTAAACCGATGATTAATGTGAACAGCTCCACTGCACAACAATGATCCTAGTGTACACCTAGTGATAAATTACTCTTAATCCAATCAACAAAATGCTATCATTCAGAATCATCTCTCCGAGGGGTCGGTTTGTGGAACTGACACTCTACAACTGTAACCTGACACTGTTCCCATGTCTCTTCTATTGTGTCTGTTCTAAGAGCTGACCATGCTAACATGGAAGCGGGTTGTTTATGCTTAAATGGTCTTAGGGATCGGTCTGTTATTGATCTTATAAAAAATGGATGGGCTCTTACTAGTCTTAGTGTGATTCATTTATCATGTTTATGTTTGTATTTTATCAGATGGTCAAGTATCAATGCAAAACTAACTCTACGTGATCACAGTCATGGGGACATGTAAAATGATATTAATATTAATTGTAAAACACTTTTTTTTGTCTTTTTATGTACAAAATGTTTCAAGCCACTGTTAATTAACCAGTTATATATGTTTTAAGTTTCTTGGACTGTCATTGACAACAGAAGTGCTTAACATATTAAGTGCTGTATTTTCATGTATCATACCAAAATGTTACAATCCAGATGTGTATAGAATTTGCAATGCAAAAAAAGTAAATTGTAACCATGGTAACAAGGTAATTAAGCTCACAGGACTCAGACTGGCCCTATCACTGTCTAATGATAGCGTCACTTTGACCACCATGGTTTTTTTTCATATTTTGAGCTTTGACCTTCACGTAACCTATTTTTCTTATAAGTGTTCTTGCATATTCAACATTTCCTCTATTGTTTCTACATGGATGCTTGACAACATCCTTTTTAAGTGTCATTTTAGGTATGTAGAACAACATATAACATGTTTTTGAGCATATTGTGTTTTTTTTTTATAAATATCTGACCGTTGACCTTCATATGCCCAGTATCTGACACTTGATGAGGGCACGGGTGGCCGTCATATCAGACGCCGCGATTCGCTGTGCAGAGTTGCGCCCCTTGGGCACGTCAGAAACCTATGATTGTGGGTTCGAATCCTGGTTCGCCCCGATTATGTTTTCTAGGTTTGTCAGCACTATACCCGTGCTCGTGGGTTTCATTGAAGTGGTAAACGTCTGAGACCTGCATCACTTCGGGCTTTCCTCCCACATTAAGCTGACATGCCGTGACATAACTGGAATAGTGTTTAAAGCCGCATTAAACCCAACTCACTCACTCACTCCGACACTTGATAGGATCAATGATCACAGCTTTGTTGTCTTTTAAAACAGAATTCCCACCAATTTTAGACATTATTTCTTGGTAACCCAGGTGAGGTTCAGAGCCTTGCATTGCTCCGTGCTGTGGTACGTGGCCAGTACCTGATGACCCTTCCTATTATCAGGATAATAGGCTGTACATTTTTTATGAATCTCTCCACAAATTGTTTTTTTACAACACTCTTCTTCAGCTTGGAATGGTTTCTCTTTGAGCACTTCCCTTGCTCACTTCCATCAATAAACATGTTGCACAATTTATCTGTTGATCTATGTTCGTGGTTTTGATAAAAAAAATTTTAACAGTTTCATGTCTTATCACATGATCACAATGTCTGCCTCGTATAAAAGTATTGAAAGAGGGGAACCATAAGATAAATTGAGCGAACCGTTGTTTGATCGTGTTAATAAAGTGTTCTGGATGTCAGGATACTTGGCTGATAAGTGATGCAGAACTTGGGACCAAATTGAGGTATCTGCATACCCCTTTTATCTGTGTCTTAAGGGCAGTGGTAGCATTGAGGGCTGGGACAACACACCAACCGTGTGATCGATACATATCACGATACCTTGCTCACGATCCGCTACGTATCACAATATTTACCTGTGCTCTTATCAGTGGTGCGTAAGTCGTCCTTTTTATAGACAGGAATGCCAAATACCTGACACACTAACTAACGATTTACAGTTGGCAGTGTCAAGTCTGGTGCAATTGATGACACAATTTACATTTTTTTACTTTTTACTGCTCATTTTCAATAGTAATTTGTGGTTCGTGTAACATTTATAAAAGGATACATTTAACAATGTTTAAGCACAGACTTATATAGGTCCGTGTTTAAAGGTAAGAATCAATAGTTTTTTTCTTTGTACATGTTGTATGCAATTGTGATCGATACTTGTATCGAAAAAAACAAAAAAACATCACGATGCACCGATGCATCAGTGAATCGTCCTACTAAATGATAGCATAGTGGTAACAGTGTTTGCTCTTCATGAGGAGGACCTGGGACAGATGAGGCCCCACACATGTGATGTTTGAAGCCCATTTCTGGTCTTCCACCCATCCCACTGTGATCTGTCCGGAATACCCCTAAAACCATTACAAAACCCTAGTTGTAACAAATGCTGAAGTCTATTTGTCCCAACCTAACTTTCATATATACCTTTTTTTGCGTTTGTTTTCAGTTTAGTTTTCTCCTTAACCAATATAACACATGGCCTGATAACTCTGGATCCAAAGACACGTACTAATGGGTTGGACAATAAGCATGAAAATTTGCTGAGGTTTTAGATTAATTTATCAACACAGTAAATACTTTTTGATGAACCTTATTTCTCAACAGGTTATAAGAGAAATAGGGGCGGTCGGGTAGCCTAGTGGTTAAAGCCTTGGCTCGTCACGCCGAAGACCCGGGTTCTATTCCCGACATGGGTACAATGTGTGAAGCCCATTTATGGTGTCCCCCGCCGTGATATTGCTGGAATATTGCTAAAAGCGGCGTAAAACCATACTCACTCACTCACTCACTACAAGAGAAATAAAAATGCAAATAATCGACAAGAATGTTAATGTGAGCAGTGTACATAGTGTAAGACATGTTAGAATGTACCATTGATTTTCTACACTGATTGGCCCATCTCTTGACAGTGCTTGAGGGTAATC